AAAAAAAAAAAAAAAGAAACATAAAAAAAAAATAATACCCATTTCATAGTGTTTGGGGGAGGTGAAGTGAAAATGCATGTAAAATATCGGGTATATGGTTAGCTTCAGTAAGTGTTGGCTATCATTAATATTATTCCCCCTTTACTGTCTCCTTATCCCAGGCATGCAAGGTGGAAGGGGTGCTTCAGGGGACCCCATTTGTCTCTTGCAGTCTGCTCTCACTCTGACACAAGTTGTAGCTGAACAATGGTGACCAGAGGAAAAGCTTGAAGGGGAGAGTGGGGAGTTTAGGCCACTTGGATGTGGGGGTAACATTGACCAGCAGGTGCCTTGATACATTGTTGCCTGACCTCAGTTCTGAGGGAATGGGGAGGGGTGGCCCTGGGTAGCAGGGTTCCTTTGGTGGCATTGAACAGATTCCTTAAGATGATCTGGGCTCCCAGAGGTTCTAAGTATTGGGTAGGATAGGAAGAGGTGGCTGTCCTGGGACCCCAGGATCCCAATGCATTCTGGCAAGAGGAAAAGAAGTAATCACGGGGGTCTTTCTGAGTGTATTTCTTGTTCCTCTGCTCCTTTCAGGACTTCTGCGTGACTGTCTCCTTCACCTTCTTCTGGCTGGTAGCTGCAGCGGCCTGGGGCAAGGGCTTGACAGACATCAAGGGGGCCACACGGCCATCCAGCCTGACGGCAGCCATGTCTGTGTGCCATGGAGAGGAAGCAGTGTGCAGCGCTGGGGCCACACCCTCCATGGGACTGGCCAACATCTCTGTGGTGAGACCTGTGGCCACTGAAGGGGACCGGGGGAGGCAGTGCTATCCCAGATGCCCAGACCTGTCCCGGCTAGCAGGTTCTGGGACAAAAAGAGAGGGTGTCTCTCCAGCTGGCATCCCTTACAACTGGAGCCGGTGACCCTAGCACCTAAGGATGGCTGCTCGTCCCTGGCTGACCCTGAGAAGACATTTTGGTTTGGGGGGAACCCAAGAGCCATTTAGCCTCCTGTTCTTTCCTCCTTCTGTACTCTGTCTTCCCATTTCCCCTCTCCCCACATCCAGGCATGCCCTTTGTGACTGCTTCCCACTCCTCCTTTACAATATGTGTTTGTGTGTGTATGTGTGCACATGCGAGCATATGAAGGAGAGCACAGGCTGTGGCTGGGCTCATGGCTGGGAGCAGACCCAGAGTGAGTGAGAAGGGGTTCACTGTCACTCAGGCCTCTAGACTGGAAAGGGGTTTTGGGCAGGTGTGGGTCCGGCAGGTATGCACGTGTTTGGCCATCCCAGTTGTTAGAATGGGGAAATCTTTCCATATCAATTGGTAGATAGCTGAGGCCTGAAGCTTTTCAAATGCCCCCTGTCACCTTAGCCCTGCCCTGAAAATGGCCTGGAACTCTTCAAGGCCCAGCAACTGAAGGGTTTAATCGCTGGCACACCAGGGAGCCTTCTAGAACTTGCTGGAACCCTGCTGATCAGTTTTAGCCCCCAACATTTTATTGTAAAAATTTTCACACATCAAAGTTGAAAGAATTTTACAATGAACACCCACACACTCATCGCCTAAACTGCACCATTAACATTTTACTAGACTTGCTTTATCACACATCTACCCGCCTCCCTTCATCCATCAAACCATCTGATTTTTAATGCATTTCGACGCTAATTGCTTTGACATCAGTTCACCTCCCCCACCCCAATACTTCCTGCTGATAGGTTTTTAAGTATTTTTGAATAAATAGTTGAATATAGCCCGGGCTGGGTCCCTGGTCTTAAGAAAGGAGCACCTTGGACAGTTCTGGTCACACCCACCCTTGAAAAAGGCACTCCTAACAGTGCTTTGGAAAGCGCCACCAGAGTCCCTGCTCCTTGCTCTGCTTTGCATGATGCTTCACTCCAGGGGCCAGACTCTCCTAGCAACCAAGCTACAACCTGGGTGCATGCTGTGGACAGTTAGGGACTTTTGCCAGAGAGCCCCTTAGTGGGTATCAGCATTGAACCCTGCCTGTATCTCCAGTTCTCTGTGTTTTAGTCTTCTGAGCCCCCTGTGCCTCTTCCTTCACCCCTCACAGGAACTCCTCCCTGTTCCCACAGTTCCCCCCTTACTATTCTCACAAACTTCCCTGATGTCTTTGCAGCTCTTCGGCTTTATCAACTTCTTCCTGTGGGCCGGGAACTGTTGGTTTGTGTTCAAGGAGACCCCGTGGCATGGGCAGGGCCAGGACCAGGACCAGGGCCAGGGCCCCAGCCAGGAGAGCGCAGCTGAGCAGGGAGCGGTGGAGAAGCAGTAAGCAGCTCCCACCTGGCTACTCCTGAACAGGACAGCACCTCTTCAACCACCTCCAGCTTCCAGGACCTCCCTCTTCCTCCTTCTCCAACTCCCCTCCTCCATCATTCTGGGCTTTGAGCTTTGAGACGTCGTCGATGGATGGGCAGGCATCAGCTGTCAGAAACCCCAGCGGCCCTACCAGTGGCTTCCTATCTCTCCTCTTGCTGGAGCCTCGGATGGCAGGAGCTCAGTGCTTCTTGTCTACGGCCTGGACCCCAACATTTTGCTTGGGGTCTTCCTCGTACACTTACAGCCTCCCATTGCAGGAGAGGGTTGGGGGCAGGAGACTGGTTCCTAGCAGCCACTTCTATCAACCTGTCAGCTTCAATAAAAGTGGGGGGAGGGGAAATTGGCTGGCAGCCTTCTTCCTGGTCCCTTGCATGAAGGGCCCACCAGTGGTTTAGTGACCCCTCTTCAATGGTTGTTATCTAAGCCTTGTGTCTGCCCTGATCTCCAGTCAGCCTGAGCCCGGTATGCTTCCCACTTTTTCCTCTGGCATCTGCTTGCCCACAGAGCCTACCATGTGGGAACCCAGGAGGCCAACTAGTCTAGAAGACAGCCCTGTAGGGGCTCCTGATGAGGCCCGACTCAATGGGGAGCAGATATATTGCAACTGGGTTGCAACTTCAAGAAACTGAAGCCAGGAAACTTGCTGGGGAAGCAGTTTCTTCTATTCCCTTAGCCCTCCCACCCCTCCAGGCTGGTGCACCTTCCACCAATAGTAAACTCGTACTTGCCTTAGAAACCCCTGACCTTCTTCCCTGTCCTCCTTCTTGGGCTTAGTCTCACACAGGGGACACTAGATGAGGGGTCTAGGAGCAACTCCCTTTTAGCCCTCTCTGCCTCCAACCTCTCTGTCCATCTCCCTTCCCCAATCTCTTGGGTCTGAGGCATTCAAGATCCTTTTCCATGTCTGTCCAGGCTTTCCTTTCATTCCTATGGGGCCATATAGGGGCTTTGGAAGGGCCCAGAGGACCACCATGAGGCTAAGTTGCCCCAGAGCCCCAGGACATGGATGGATGGGCCTATTTCTTCCTCATTCTCTGCTCATTTCCCCCCAAACCCCCAACTCCTTCTGTGGCCCCTCTTTCATACTCCCCTATCTCACCTTTACGAAAGGACACACCCTCTCGGTTTGCCCTCTGTTCCTCCCCTGCTTCCTCATTTCTCCCAGGCTCTATCCCTCCCCACCCAAACCCCCAGTCCAGGGCAGGCCAATGCTATTGGTGCTTCTTCACTTCGGGACCCAGTTCCATATTTGTCTTTGATATGTCTCCTCTTTCTGACACCTCCTTCAGTCCCTCTCTGGACCCCAGGGCCTAAGAGTCAATGCTGACTGGGAAAGGGCCATCTATCTCCTACCCAGCTCGAAGCACTTCAGTCTGCCCTGGCCATAGGGCTGCTCAGGGAAGGATGAAGAAGGAAGAATTCAGCCATTTTCTGATCCAGTGCCAATTAGCCCACTTATCATCCCAAAGGTGAATGTGCCCTGTGCCAATTTCTCCTCAGGACTGAGTCATCCCTTCCCACCTTCTCACCTCCCTAAACACCATCCCCAGTAAGATGCACTTTCCTGGGGTACCCAGAAGACAGGACCTTTGATTTGGGGCCCGTCATTTCTTTGGGTCAGAGTTTCCCCACTTGACAGGGGGAGTGTGAGATTTACATCCTCAAATGCTCCAGAATCCTTCAGTGAAATAATTAGGTTTTTTGTTTTATTTTTCTTTTTAGATTTTGGGGGAGGGATTTGAGGAGAGAGGAGAGGAGATGGGGATGAGAGTGTTTCTAAGTCTGAACCTCTCTCTGTCCTGAGCTGTCCCCATGGTTACTCAAGGAAAAGGGGGGAACAGTTTTGCCTGCAGCTCCAGAGACACAGAGAACAAAGAGGTGACCATTTTTCTCTGAACTGGCCCCTGTGAGGGTCTGTGAGCAGCTTCTACTGGAACTTTGTTTGGATTCTGTGTATGTATTTATAATTTATTTGAAATGTGATGGATAAAGTGTTCTCATTTGGGGGCTGAAGTTAGCAACTGGCCCTTGAGCTAGGGGAAGGGGAGTGGGGTGGATATTCACTCCTGCCAAGGACTCCTAGCCCAGAACTCTCCCTAGAGCAGAGAAGGCTCTTTCTCTTTCTCAAGAGCCTAGCTTGTTCTCATCCAGAAGGGCCTTGATTTAGGCTATGGCCTCTCCATGACCACCCTAAGAGGAAAGGCTACTTCACCTCATAACCTCCAGCCAAGTGCTGAGGGCAGAGCTGTCCTCATAGGACTCACATCCCCTCTAGTCAGGGCTGGCACTACTGCTTTGCCTAGTAGGGCCTAAGGTAGGAGACCGTGTCTGGTTTCTTCAGACTGCAGGAAGCTAACAGGCAGGGCATTTGCCCTTTGCCCTCCTAAATTCTGACTCTGCCAGGGTACCCACCAAGGACTTTTTCTGAACTTGAGTTCTCCCCACTATCATGGTCATAGGTCTCCTACTTCCAGGATTGAAGATCGGGGTGGGGGGAGAATGTTGCATGTTGTTTTCTGGTGCTTGTTATTACACATTTGAATAAACAGTGCTTCAAAGCATTTGCCATGAAGGAGCCAAGCCTAGAACCCTTCCAGAGATTTTTTTTTCCCCTCTTCTCCCATTACTTTAAGTTATCGGACAAATATCAGTATTTCCACCAAAACATCATTCCACTCCTTTCCACGCTGCACTCCAAGCAATAGAGTCTGCATTTTCTCTTTTGGTGGCACCGATTTGTCCAAAGTAACTGAGGCTCATTAGCAGATTTACAGTAAACTCAAAAGGCAAGAGATAGTGGCTTCCACAATACTGTTTCCATTTGCTCTGTGACCCAGACAAGCTTCCTGTCAGGAGGTGAAGGCCATATGCCTTGTCCTCTTAACTATAAAGGTTCTTTCTGAACAAACTTGCACCTCTATCCCCCTTCTGACATGCTACCTTGCATTCCCTATATCTTGGACACAATATTGCATTCAATTTCACCAAGTTCCTGGACCCCCTAGGGATCATCTGTCGTTCTCAGGTTAAGGATCTCTGCTCTCAGAGATTATCTTTGTGGTACTTAAACCTTCCCTGGGTGAAAATGAGAAGAAAGTCTGAGGTCTTGAGGTCACAGACCTTGACTTACTTGCCTCCAATTTGGTTTCCCTTTAGCTTAAGAAATTAATATGGGGTGAGGTGTGAGGAGTTGAAGAGGGAAAAGAGAACTAGTATCTCCTTTCTGGTGTGATGCGGGGGGGTAGGCTTTTGTCTCTTGATTGTGTGAGGGTGGGAAGAAATGTTATCAGCTGAGAAGAAAGAGAATGATTAAGGTATTTTCCAGGCCACAGCAAGGAAAATGACAGATCTGATGAGAAATCTCCCTATGCTGAGGCTCTGGTAGCAGCCCTTCCAGCAGAGAAAATATTCATTAGAAAAAGAAGCCAAAGTGATGGATGGAGTCGGGGTCCAGCCAGGGTTTGGGAAGAGGCGGCACAGGGTATCGATCGCAGTTCTCAGGAGGAGAGAAGGATCAGCAGAGATGCCGCAAACACCAGCAGCCTCGGGGCCACCCCAGTTCCGGGGCTGGCTCTGGCTCGGAGATAGCTTTCTGTCATCCTGACAGGTGATCTTGATCAGCTCATCTAGGTCCTTCCAAACCCAGACAACGCCACTCTAACCCTCTGCCCTGCATCAGGGCAGCGTGGGTTTCCCACAGATGAAGCACAACACGGTAGACGAGGACCCTCCCCCCCCAACCCTTGTGTCCTTCAGCGCATCCTACAGACTCCCTCCCCTTGCCCTTCTGATTCACAGCGCCCACCTCCCTGCACCTACCCTATTCGATCTACTGGGGAGCGAAGTCGCTTCTTGACCGCCAGCCCGGGAAGGGGCGCCAGCCAGCTGGCGGAGACACGGCTTAGAGGGGCGTCTTGGGCAGAGAGAGGTTTGGGGCTAAGGTGTGTATGCAGTGAGCTTGGAAGAGTGGGCTGGTAGCACAAAGAATGTATGCACAAGGGTTAGGAGAGGAGGTCCTGGGGCTTTGGTCTCTTTGCCCCCCGCATTTGTGCATTTTGCAGGGGCTTTTGCAGCAAGCACGGTAGGCAACAGCACGCCCTCCAAGACTACATTTCCCAGAAGGCTACGCGGGAGGGAGAGTGAGGGGCAGGCAACCTGTGCTGCGCTTGCGCAAAGAGTGAGCTGGAAAGGTGGGAGGGAGAGGGGAGGCGTGCCCGCGGCGGGGCTTGG